TATATATATATATGCACATTTATTCCAGCATCAACAAATACATATTCAATATATATTGATTTTTATTGATAAAGCAAACAAAAGTTCATATTTCAATATTTGTGAATTCTTGGATATATTTGGTGATATATTAGATATTCTGCAAACTCTGTGTGTGTGTGTGTGTGTGTGCGCGCGCGTGTGCGTGTGTGTGTATTAGACAAAAAATGCATATATTTTTCTGCACTTGAAACGATCGTGCAATGTCATCGAAATCTTTACAAAGTAAATCTTTTTACATATATATCCTCAAGAATATATTCGTGCGATGGTGCTGGATAGATTTAATTGTTCAACTACTTTATGTATTTACACGCATATCAATATAAAACTTTTTACATTATTTAAGTTAACAATTTGTTTTATCTAGAACTTTTTCATGGTCGATAATGATCGTAGAAGAGAAATATAGAAAAATCTACTTATATATATAAATCATATCAAACAATTTTGAATCGAGGTTTGTAAACAAATAAATCGTAGCGAACAATGTATACGCAATATGTATAAAATAAATATAGAAAAATCACAGATAACATTTTACAGTCTAAGTCTTTAAGAAACGTATATATGTATATATAAAATCCGTATTATAATATCAAATATAATTCACGAATTCGTACTTATAATGAACAACACATGTGATAAACATTACCATTTCTTATATAATTCTGCTTATACATTATCTCATTCAAGATAATACGAATATTTTTTACATACTTATTGATATATAAAACATTGTTTTTAGAATATATCCTATGTTATTATACATTATATATATTATTACAGTTTACAGTTCATAAAACAACAAAGTAAATGGTATTTTAGACAGACCAAAATGTGAGTTATGTATCGTTTCATCACAGAAAGTCCTGAAATAGTCTTTGCAATAGTCTCTATATTGTTATATGGAGAGATCTCCATATAACAAAAGTATAATTATATAAAGATATACTAAAATAACATAATACCATTTTTTAATTAAGATAAAGAATATAGTATCTATTAACAAAAATTATACGTGCTATGTATATTAGCAATATACATTTGCTTCAGTATACACCATTTTACGTTTTATTATAATTACATTTACAATTCTCTATACTGAAATACCTCGTAGCATATGTTTGAACATGTATGTCAGTTTTATAAATATAAGTGTTTCACATTGTTTCTCTCTCTCTCCCTCTCCCCCCCCCCCCCTCTCTCTCTCCGCGATTATTATCAACTACTATTTTGTTTATTCCAATCATATTCCCATGTTTTAATAACATTTACTTTAAAATCTATAAACTATTTTAAACATACAAAAAAAAATTTATACATAGGCTTGATGTTACTTTATGCATAGACTTCTTTATCGCATCTGAAGTAACATTGATTAGTATGTCATTCTTACGCCCGTTATTGCACCATTATTAATATAATTCGAATACATAGGAAGGAGAGATCACATTATATACGTTTGATGCTTTTGCAAAAACATAAGAAAAGATCAATTTGGTATTATTTTTCTCTCTTATGTTCTTTTTGTTCGTCCGATGGCTCTTCGCGAACGGCTAATACCATTCTTAACATAAGAACGGCAAGCAATTTGTCTAAAGGATCCATAAATCCTCGTTGTATCCATTTTGGAATCGTCGTGCGTGCATGAGAGAATCCCAATTTTTGAAGGATATAATCGATGCCATAAGGTTCTATACTTTTGCCGGCCCAAGAGAGTAGTCTTGACAGAGACACATGACAAGCGTTATTTTCATTAGCTGCGATAAAAAGAAGAAACCTAATTTAAAAAGGTAACTCACCTTACTGTTGGTTCCAAGTGCCACGTTTTACATCTATATGATCGCCAATCTTTTATAAACATTTCAGCTGGATCAAATTGTTTACGTTTTTTCTCATCTTCTGAAGCGACGCTGGATACACTGGATGCATTAGCTGCTGTACTTGCGTTTGTATTTTTTCTCTCTTGCTGATCAGGACTGTGTGCTCTCGCACCCATATTCTGCATAGTGTGCTGTGTAATGGAAGAAATTTCATACAAATTAAAATATTTTTCTTTCTCTGAAAATAAAATTCAAAGCTATTTTAAATGTATCCTGAAATTTTTCTAAAAATCCTTACCA